CCGGTCAAAAAAAAAAAAAAAAAAAAAACCTTAAAACAATGCTGCAACAACAGCCATTGTACCCTTTTTCAATTCCTAGATTTAGAATTACTTAGTCAAAGATGATTTGTGTTTTATTTTCTAATTTTTTTTAAAGCTGGTTAATGATGATTTTTTTTTTTTTGGCAGCTGGCTGGTACAGGGATCTGAACCCATGACCTTGGTGTTGTAAGGCTGTGCTCTAACTAACTGAGCTAACTGGCCAGGCTTGTTTATTAAAATGGATTTCAATTCATCTCACCACACTCTTTCAGAAAGGTGGTACCAATTATTTTTACCCAGAAGAATATGCAATTGCCTTTTTCCTAAAACTTCCTTTACCCTAGTAACCATCATTTATTTTAATTTTTGTCAATCTGATGACAAGAGTGGTTTTGCATTTATTTTGATAGTATTTATTTTGAATATATTTTATTAATATTGTCCATTTATGATTTGATCATCACATACTGTGCACACATCCTGATAGCCAACTCCGTACCCCATAAATATGTATAAATAAAAATAATAAAAAACAAATAAATAAAAATATTGTCCACTTATATTTCTTCTGTAGAAAATTGCCTGCTCATAGCCTTATCCTTTTTTTCTACTAAAATAGTCATTTTTATTATTTAAAAGACTTGTTTTTTATAAGAAATCTAATAACCCGTTATTACCAAGTAGGAAAAAAAACATTTATTTACAACTGCAATTTACTTCTGAATTTTATTTACCATGTTTTTGGATAATGTCCAAGTTGTAATTTCTGTAAAGTGTGATTACCATTTTCCCTGTATACTGCTGGCATTGGGATCATGAACAAAGTTCGTTTCCACCAAAAACATTATATAAATTTTATATGTTTTTCTTTTAGAACTTTTCTGTACTGCTACTTTACGTGTATAACTAGAAGTCAAGCAAACACGACATTGTGGATGTTGATTGTTAACAATGACAGACATTAAGTGAGCAGATACCATCTAACAGGCACTTCACAAATGTTTCAAAGGGTTTACTCATTTATTCTCAGAATAATCATATTAGGGATCCATTAATGTCCATTTAAGAAAGGAGGAAACAGACTTTTAGAGATTTAGAAATTTGCTCAAAAATTTCAGAGCCCCAACGAGGCAGAGTGGGAACCCGAAGCAGGGCGTGTCTCAACAGTTCAAGTTTGTTACAGCACCAGCGTATGACTTAGATGCCTTAAAATCTAAAATCTGGGGCTCTAACACGTGAGTTTAACACACTACTAAAGAACACCCCCTCCTATTCCACTCTGGGGACGATTTCCAGGACCAGATGAGATGTGAGCCTGACATGCCCGTGTTGGTGCCTCTGCGCTGCCCGGCCCCTAGGCCCCTGGCAGCACTTCCTGTCTCCCCTCTGTGCTGCTGTTTTCCTCCCACCCTCAACACCCCAGGGTAAGGACAAGCTGAAGATGAGCCCCAGCCCAGGGGCCCTTAAGCCCCTCTGGTCCCCAGGGAGGGCAGAGACTTCATTGCAACCACACGTGAACCTGGGCACATAGTCCATCAGTGTCCACTCTGACGACACTGGGGCTGACGCTGCCTGCCTGACAGAACTCTCGGAAGAATCAAGCAGGATAGTGAATGTGAAGCCCCCCAGATGTGGAGGACACTGCACCAACGATGAGCTAGGTGAGTGGGTGTGGGGTCAGATCCCCCTGGAATCCCATCAGAGCCACCCCTGACCAGCTCCTGTGAATAGGACACTGTCTGCTGAGGAGGGGCTGGGGAGGAAGGAGCCCAGGCCCATGCAGCTCTGGCACCCTGGGCTGCCAAGATCCCCTACAGGGGTCCCCAAAACAGGGGGCACAGACAGGAAGCCACAGAGGGGGATAACTGAGCAGCCTGAAAGAGACAGGAGAGAAGGTGAAATATGCCCATTTTACAGACAGAGATACTAAGCTCTGGTCTGCCCCAGACCCATTCTGGGAGAGGAGGCGAGGATCGGCCCCCCGGGGGCATGATGAGTTCAGCTCTCAGCTCCCTCTCCAGGCTTCTGTGGGGGTGTGCAGCAATGAGGTTGGGAGAAGAAGCTGCTGAGGCTCCTACATACCCTGAGGGGTGTCTCAGAGGGTGGGCAGAGGGGTTCAATCCCCCAGAAAACCCACACACTCGAACAGGACTTCTGGCTTCACCCTGACTTGCCTGACAGAGGCTCCTTGCCCCCATCTCTTGAGGAAACTTCTGAAGGAACCCCAAATCCCACCACAGCTACCTGTCCCACCCCCTCCTACAAAAATTCAACTTGTGACAGGGACTGTTGTGAGTCCCCCAAGAGCAGGGCCAATTCCACCCAGGGTGGCAGGTTGAACCTAAGCGCAGGAATCTCCCCCCAGCTCCCATTTCTGGGGCTCCAGGTCCTGGATGCTGGAGGAGACCAAACATTCAGACAGTTCCAGTAGAGTCCTCACCTGGGGTGTCCAAGGCCCCACGTCCATACAGAGGGAGCCCACCTTCACATTCGTGGGAGGCTTCAGCACAGAGAGAGAAGCAGATCCCACCCTTTGAGAGCCCCCTGTGTCCTGGGGAGTGAGAACCACTCTCACACAGCAAAGAACCATAGCTAGAGAGATAGTTAGTGGTATGGGGCAGGGGCGCTCTTATGGGCCTACTGGCAGGAGGCGTCACTTCTCAGTGGTGTGCAGTGGCCAGAGAAAGAGGAAATCAGTTTGAGAACACAGTTGCCAACACCCTCACACCACACACATCCCCGTGCCTCCTGAGCCAGGGCCACCTTCCTCCCCAGCAGGAGGGTGCCCCCCCAAATCTGATATGAAAGGAGGTTCAGGGATTCAGGGAGGGGCAACTGAGCTCAGCTGAAGGTGAGGAAACCCCCACGAGCTCAGTCCTGCATTGTGGGTGATTTGGTGGGAGCCTCTGCACGCCCCTGGCTTCCTGCCCTGTCCGTGGGGCAGACTTCAGCCAGGCGTCAGAGAGGCTGTGGTCAAAAGTCAGGAGGCCCCCTGGTAACACCACTATCTCATCTGCGACTTTGAGCAAGTCACTGGCTGTATCTTGGCCCCAGTTCCCCTATCTGTGGAGAAGAAAAGTAACACCTCCCTCATACACCTGCTGCGGGACTTCAGACAGAGCGCACAGAACCTGCTTTGTAAATTGAAGCGCGAGTGCGTGATGCACCTTGCTGCCAGGCTGCCTTCCGGCTCAAAAGCTCCATCCTGCCTTCCCACCTGCGCTCCCTTGGGCACCCGTATCTGACATCCCTGCTGTGTCCTCCTTTTTCTGTCCTCTGCCCCTTCTCCTCCTCCGTCTCTGTTCATTCCTGCGTAAGAAGGACACTGCACCAAGGCGGGCGGGGAGCAGGAGTCCAGGGGCAGGCAAAGCAGTGGCCTTAGAATCAAGTCCATTCGAGAGGCCCCAATTGTCATTTCAGTCATCATCTGTGCAGAGTTCCCTGCAGCAGACCATAGAGTGCAGAACACCGATGGTTGCAACTGGAACGCCAAACAGCCGCTACACGGGTCCTAATGCGGTATACGTAATCTCTTTCTTTGCAAAGAGCATCTTTTTAAATTAAATCTTAAAAGTGTTGACATTCACTAAAGAGATGGTAGAGTATCTCGTGTTTATGTACAAATTAAACAGGTATTTCTCCAGCACCCGTAGGTGGTGGGAGTTGAGGTCCAGCTTCTTGTGCTCCCTCCTCCACCCCAGGCATCCCCTCCCATCATCCCCTCTGAGGACACCTGCTCAGTGCTCTCTCCCAATTCTCCCCTCCCCCAGCTTTGCCAGGAATCTTCTGCACTTCCTCACTGGAATTTAGTCTCTGCCCACTTTTCCCTCCCCTCCAGTACCCACAAAAGTTCCCAGGGTGGAGGCACTCGCTGACCCTGGACACAAAGTCTCTGACCACCCCTGGGGCTAGTGGGGCTGGGGCTCGTGGTCAGACCTGCAAGGGCCTCTGATGTTCCCTGCAGTGAAGAGGCAGTGCACAGAGAGGGGGAAAGATGAGGGGTGAGGTGGCCGGACTCAACCACAGTTTCCTCCTGGCCTTCTCAGCTCCTCCCTCAGGGGAAGGTCATAGTGGGAGGGGACAGGTGGACACAGGGGAGAGCAAACATTCCCCACAGAGACCTAAGAGCTGTGCGCCGGCCAGGGCTGAGCCCTCCAGGCCCAGACTCACGCCTGTAGCTGGAGGACCCCACTTCCCTGTGCCCACAGAATCTGCCCTCCCCACCCTCCCACTTCCCCAACCCAGGCCTGGCCTTTCTTCTTTTTTCTATCTCAGAGGTGCTAGAAGAGCCCAACAGAATCAGGCCCAGCTCCCAGCTCCTTCACCCCGTTCTGCACCCCACCCCTCCCCCAGCACACAGGAAAAAGGCCACATGGCCTGGAGAGCCCCCGTGCCCCAACTGCTGCTGCTGCTGCTGCTGTTCCCAGGTGAGGAGGAGGAAGACAGGAAGAGCCAGGGAGGAGAGAAGGATGCAATAGGAACTATCGGGACAGCTGGGACCGCCGGGGCAGGGATCAGGTGGCTCTGTGGCCAGCGGTCTGGTGTGGGACAAATTCTGAGCATGGCCCTGACCTGCACCCTTGTCCTCCAGGCTCCTGGGCACTATTGAGGGCTCATGAAATTCAGAAAGTGGTGGGACAGACACTCTCTTTGAAATGCCGGTACCAGCCCATGAGCAGGTCCTATGAGAAGAAAGGCTGGTGCAAGATGAAGACAAGACTCTGGTGCATCAGACTGGTCACCAGCTCCCAGCCCCGGACACTGGCTCAGACTGCTCGATTCTCAATCTGGGATGACCCTGCTGCTGGCTTCTTCACTGTCACCATGACTGATCTGAGGGAGGAAGACTCAGGACACTACTGCTGTAGAACCTACCACACTTCCAGCAACTCTGTCTCTGAGTCTATCAAATTCTATCTGGTGGTGTCTCCAGGTGAGCCCCTTCCCTGGGATGCTCAGGGAAATGCCCCTCACTTCCTTTTGGTGCCTCCATTACTGTTAGTATTTTAATCATGGGAGCCAGCCCCCTCCCTGCCCAAGCTCCTAGGAAGGTTACTGGGATCAGATGCCCAGGGGACTGGCACATGTGCAAATACACAGCCACCTCACACTGTCTGTCTGTCTCCATGATTTACATGCCTGCAGCCCGTAGCCTCCTCAGAAATGCTCAAACAGATCATTTGAGTGTGCTGACTGTTCCCAGCCCATATGACACTCCCACAGAGGACCCTAAGACTGCCTGGCATCTTTGGCACACAACAGGTACTCAGTAAACATATGTCCACTGGCTACAAACCACCCCCCACCATGTGGAACCCGTGGCCCACATGGGCTTGTTGGTAGATGGGAAGGGACCTGTCCATCCCTCACGGTCCAGATTAGGGGTCAGCAAACATGGCCCAAAAACTAAGAATGGTGTTTAAATGGTTGGGAAAAAATCAAAAAAAAAAAAATAATAATGTTTTGTGTCACACGAAAATTATAGGAAATTCAAATTTCAGTGTCTATAAGTAAAGTTTTTGGGGGACATAGACATGCCCGTTTATTCGCATATTGTCCACGGCCATTTTCACACTACAACAGCAAAGTCGAGTGGTTATGACAGAGGCTACATGGCTGACAAAGTCTGAAAGAGTCACTTCCTTGCCCTGCACAGAAAAAGTTTGCCAACCTCTAGTCTAGAGCAGAGATTCTCCAAGTATCTGTGGTGGAGGACTCTATTTAAAAACAATCCATCGGTGACTAATTTTTTTTATAAAATACAGTAATAACAAATTACTAGCAAAATAAAATGAGAAAAAAACAAACATACAAAGTACAGCCCAAAATGTGTATTATATTTGACAGATATAATACTACATTTCAACAAATATAATCAGAACAAACATAACATAGGGAAAAACTTTAATTATAAAAACTACATATTTTCATTTAAAAGTGTGCATAAAGGTGATTGATATAGTGGCTTAATGTTGTACCCATAACGTTTTGTTGTTCCTCAGCTGTAACCCAACGAAAAGAAGTGAAGTCACAGTCTCCACGTTAAATGCCAATAAGCACGTTTTGAACAAACACTCTGTATATCCACATTTACAGATCTTTTTTGTTTATTTATTTATTAATCTCTCTTTTTTTTTTAACATTCTGAGATGCTGTTGCAGAGCAGTTGGGGGGCAGTGGGAGAGGGGAAAGAGGAAGGAAATAGGGTGGGAGAAGGAGGAAGGAGGGGGCATGGTTGAGGCCTGTGGCACCCCCCTCGCTGCTGCAGGAGAGACGAGAGGGCTTCCAGCAGCTCTGTGGTCATTGCTGGGCTGGGTGCAAATGTCAGGGGGGGTGTGGCTGAGGCCTGGGGCACTTCCTGCAGCAGCTCAGTGGTCATCATTAGGCTGGTTGTGGGTGTTGGGGTGCATGGCTGAGGCCCTCAGCCCTCCCTGCTCCCTGGCTTGGGAGCCCAAGGGTCTTCCAGTCCTTCTAGGTGTTATAGATGTTCTTTGGTGATGTGAGACCTTTACTAGTTAATATCAAACTGTGTCTCTGGTCTGTGGGTATTTTGTTTTTTCTTTCAGTTCTATGTTGGATTATTCGCTGTTCCTACACTTAAACTCTGCACTGGAACTAATTTGTGGTCCTTTTCTTACTTCTAAAATGGGGGAACTTCTGTGGGGACCAGCACTGGAGCCCTGTGGTTGAGCTAAATTGCTGCTTTGCTACTGATTCCCTGGGGAAGGCTTTTTGTGCAGCTCAGGTTTTAATGGTTGACTTTATACGTACTTCCAGGTCTTGTGAGATCTGGTACACCCGGGTTATGTAGAAACTCTGGTCTGGCCCTGAGTCTTTTCAGCAGTCTGCACCCCCTGCATTTCTATACTTCTGACCAGTCTCCACTAAGTGGACCTGTGCTGATTGGAGAGCAGATCAGCTGTCCTTGCTATGCCCCAGTGTTCCTCCAGTGGCCCATCTCCCCCACTGCCCATACTCCAAACACCTCCCATGGGACGGGCCATGGGCCCAGTCCCTTGTGATGACTCACCAGCCTTTGGCTCCTTTTTTTAGTTGTTGTGGTCCCACGGGAACACTGCTGTGGTCTTGCTGGCCTGGGGGCCACCAAGGCCCTCCTCTCCCCTGCAGCCTCCAAGCAACTTCATCCAAAGGACACAGCCATGACTTTTGCCAGCTCCTGCTCCATGCACTCACCAGCTCTAGCCTTGAAGTAGCCAGGATTCAAAACAGCAGGAGCAATTCTTTCTTTCTCTCATTGTGGCTTCTCCTGCCTTCATGCACTCTGTAGGTCTCTCCTCCTCTTCCCCTGAGCTCTAGTGGCCCCAGCATGGCTGTCACTGTTTTTTAATAGTTGTAAATTGGTTGTTTTGGGGAGAGAGTAATGCTGGTGACTGTCTATTCTGCCATCTTGACTGGAAGCCTACAGATTTTAATGTGACAAATGAGCACTCTTTTACTTGTTAATTTACCTAATCTGAGTTCCACTAATGACACCATAACTCTTATGAGATAATCATATAAAAAAATTGTGTTGATGCTTTTTTAAAAGTAATACTCATAGTAGAAAACTGGTCTCACAGAGATTATGTTGATGGAAATAGAAAAAAATTTTTAATCAATTTCAACAAGCCCAATATTTTCATTTTTAACTTTTACTAAAGGAAGCAAGTGTGTTGTGTTTTTAAATTGCATCTTCAATCCCTCTTCAGTAGCCAGTTCCAAAATAAATTTTATTCTATAGTTATAGTTAAATGTAAATTATCTTTTGATGGAAAAACACAGATTATGGATCTATGAATTTCCTCTGCATATATCTTCTTTTGACAGAAAACTAAATTCAAAACATTCTATCAAATTATTAAGGTTTCTCCATGAGTACTTGTGCAGATATGCAATATTAAGATTATCACCTACAATTGTTATTAAATTAAGTACATGTCATTGCAATGCATAGAAACTCTTCTTCTAAACTTTTAACCTTTATTTTCACATTTAGATTTTACTTGTGATTGAAAAACATGCTACATTCTTTCTTTGCATGGAAATATTAACATCAAAGCTATAATATAAACAAGTCAGATTATGCAATACTCATCTGTAAAAAATTAGTACTAAACTGGTTTCTTGTCTTGCAGAAACATTAGGAGTTCTGACCATAGATCAAACATTCCCAGCAGAGCTTCTCCCCCCGTAACTTGGCATGCAATCCAATGTTTATGATCTGTTTACATATTATCACATAAAGAGAGAGTAATTTCAAATTTAACACCTTTACCTAATGTAATTCACAATTTTTCCCAACTTGGCCACCACATTGTTCCCTTCAGCTGGTGCATTTTTCATAGCAAGACTTCTCAGTGAAGAAAGCAGGGCGTTGTTTTACAATCTAGCCCATGGCTTCTCAGTCCGGATGACTATCCAGAATGTTTTCCTGTGCATTTTTCATAGCAAGACTTCTCAGTGAAGAAAGCAGGGCGTTGTTTTACAATCTAGCCCACGGCTTCTCAGTCCGGATGACTATCCAGAATGTTTTCCTGCCATAGCAACCACAGCCATCACATCATACTCCTATATAAAACTTAAATCCCAAACCACATTTTAATAGTTTTATACAGTTCAGAGCTAGTTGTGTTTCTGGCAATGAAGCTAAAACAAAACAAAGAATTCCTTCATATCATTGCGTTCACGTTGCACAGATAATAAATAGCTGTGCTAGCAATATTTGTGCATTTTTCAAGTTGCTGTGAAAAATATTTTGCTAGCTTTGTTTGTTCTAGGAGGTGGCCTTCCGTATCATTATCCAATTCCTGACTAATTAGACCTAAAGTGTCAATGGAAAGTGATATTTAAGCTCCTTTCTTTGCCCTAAATTAACCCAATATTGTTGCAGTCTTTCAAGAATGTTTGGATAGTTGTAGATGGATTTTAGTCTTTGTAACACAAACTGTTACTTTACAGGAAGCCCACAAAACTAGAGTTTATATGTGAAATACTGATTACTTCCCAGAGCTTTTTAATCCAATACTTTTTTTCCTCAAAAAAATTGTTTTGACCTTGTGTTTTTATGTTTTATATGTACATGCTGCTTGTTTTTATGGTATATTTGCTTCATTAGCCAATACAACTCAACAAATAACTCACTAGTTTTAATACTTCACTACTAATTATAACTATGAAATTGACACTGTGTGAATGTCATAGTTTCCTATTGCTGCCGTAACAAATTACCACAAATTTAGAAAAAATTGTTTTGACCTTGTGTTTTTATGTTTTATATGTACATGCTGCTTGTTTTTATGGTGTATTTGCTTCATTAGCCAATACAACTCAACAAATAACTCACTAGTTTTAATACTTCACTACTAATTATAACTATGAAATTCACACCGTATGAATGTCATAGTTTCCTATTGCTGCCTTAACAAATTACCACAAATTTATACCACAAATTTAGTTACTTAAAACAACACAGATGCATTACTTTACAGTTCTGCAGCTCAGAAGTCCAGTTGGGTCTCACTGGACTAAACTGAAGGTGTCAGCAGGCTGTGTTCCTTTCTGGAGGCTCTAGGAGAGAATCTGTTTCCTGCTCATTTGGGGGGTTGACAGAATTTAGTTTCCTGCAGTGATATGACTGAGGCCCTGTTTTCTTGCTGGCTGTAAACTAAAGGCTGTCCCCAGATTCTAGAGGCTGCCACATTCCTTGGCTGCTTGCTCCCTTCCTCCCATGTCTAAGCCATCAACAGCAGGTGGGGTCCCTCATACATTGCATCTGTCTCCGAGCATAGCTGGGAAACGTTCTCTGCTTTTAAAGACTCATATGATCAGATTGGGCCCACCCAGATAACCCAGATCTTTAAACTTAATCACAGAAAAGTCCCTTTTGCCATGTAAGGTAACATATTCACAGGTTTCTGGGAGCAGGGAATGGGCGTTTTGAGGTGCCATTATTCTGCCTACCACAACGAAGGGTTCTATTTTCAAATAAAAACAGTGCAAAGTCTTTGGAATAATTTCAGAAGGAAAATTTTCTTTGGAATCAATTCTACCATCATTGCTCCCACATTCAGAAAAGATGCCTTTCCTTGACAAAAAGTTCAGTTTGTTTTGCTGTCTATTAGTACTCTAATTAGCTAATGACCACTCTACTCTAAATTAGCTAATCATGTTAAACTCTAATTTTAAAAAAACTTTTTTGAATAAAAATGGAAATGATTGTAAAAACAACAAATTATAAAAATAAATATGTTTATACATTTTTGCTTATAGCTAACAACTGACCTTAGGGTATCACACACTGTAATGTGTATTGTGTGTTACAAGCACACAGCTCACTCCATACGTGACTCTCCATGCCAGTGTCACAGCATCCAAGCCGGCCTGTGGCCTGTACAACAAGACGAGACAGGTCTACTAATGATATGCTTAGATCTTGAGGTAATATCAAATTGATATAAAAGTTTTGAAATCCTAACTCCCAATTTTTATACTTACCTTGTTTGGGCGGGTTACAAACAATTTGTGGCCCAGCACCAGCTCACAGATCACAATTGAACAGCACAGGTCTAGAATTTTCCCAGAGTGTCCCAAACACCTCCTCCAGGCTGTGCACATGGGTTGTTCCTAGCATCCTAGGCAGCCTAAGAGAGAGTACCCCTATGGGACAAGATCACGTCCACATGTCCATCAGCCTGGGGCTCTCTCCAGGGAAGACTTTCAAGAGCAGTCCCTCCTGCAGGTCCTTTCTTAGCCTTGCCCCTCTCTTTCCTCCAGATTCCAGGGAGGCTTCTCCCCTGGTGGACCCAGGGTGGGTATGTAGACCTAGTCAAGGACACTGAGGGTTCCCATTCCTCTTCTAGCCTTGGGGACAACCCCACTTTCTTTCCCTCTGGTCCCCCCACCCACCCACAGCAGCCATTGTCTTTTTATCCTCAACAGCCCCCACCACTTTTCCAGAGACAACTGTCCCTCGGCCTCCTCAGGTTCTGAGCACAGGTAGGTCTGGGGTCTTACTGGGAAGGTGAAATGGTGGCAGTGGGGGACAGGCAACTCACAAAGTCTCAGAATCAAGAGGAACCATAAAAGGCATTTCCTAGGCTGTTGAGGCTCTGGGGGACCCAGGGCCGTGCCGCAGAACTAGGCTGTGAAAGCAGCCCTTCAAATTCCCCACAAGGCCCCCTTCCCCAAACAGCCCCAGAACTGTGAAGGGGAACAGAGATCACAGAGATGAAAGGGCCCAAAAGACTATGACTGTTTCCACCCTTGAGGAGGCTGAGGTAGAGAAGGTCGGTCCAAAGATACAGAAATGCCGGAGGGGGTGGGGCGCAGGCCTCTTGACTCCTGTTCCGGTGCTCCTCCTGGGCACAGAGCAGCCTCCACAGACAATAGAGCCCAGGCCACAGGGCTGTCTAGTCCTGAGCCGGGGCCTTCACAACCCTTTCTCCATCCCCACAGGTCAGTTTTCTCCTTCTAGGCCAGGGTTCTCTGTTCCCATCTGTTCAGCTGTCAGGAACAGGTGGGCTGTCCTGCCAGCCCACTAACCAAGGTTCTTTTCTTCCTTGGCAGTCTCTGCCTCCAGGCAGGCCACCTGGGTTCCCCATGACCTGGTCTCTTCACAGACCCAGAGCTGTGTGTCCTCAACTGGAGGAGCCAGAGAAGCCCCCAGGGCTCCATCTGCCAGCACTGCCCCTTCACAGTGAGTTCTGGGTGGGACCCACATCCACACAGGCCTAGCACAGGGGCGCACATATGGAGAATGCCACCCCTGCCCATCCTCTCCTCTTGTCCCCATGCCTGCCAGGCCCCAGAATTCCACTCTCCGCTCAGGCCCTGAAGCCCACGGGGACCTGGTCCCAGCACTCTGTGGACTCCTCATAGCCAAGAGCCTTCTGCTGTCTGCCCTGCTTGTCTGGTGAGTGGGGTGTGAGTTGGGCTTGGGGCAAATGCAGCAGGGAATGGCATCTGCCACAGTATGAAGGGCCAGAGAGCAGGGGCAGGAAGAGTGCTGATTGACGGGCCCTCACTGGCCCATCACCTGCCATGTTCATACAGACGTACAAGCCACCTCTGTCCTTCAGCTGCACTCTCGGGTGACTCATCCATGTACCTCTGTCTCTGTGTTTTCTCCTCTCTCTCTGTCATCCCTCCATCAGTAACACTAACCTGCACAACCAGAAAGTCTCTTCTACCACCCACCCTTCCAAGAGTGCCCACGTCCAGGGGCTACCTAAAGCCTCCATCCCAAGACTGCCTCAGCCTAAGCCCTGAGGGAGAAAGGGTGGACACAGGAGGAGAGGAGCCAACAGTTCTGGGGAGAAAGGGACACGTGGGGCTGGATGAAAGGTGCAGGGACACACAAGCAAGGCCCGGAAATACGGTCAGGTCTGGCCAGGAACTGGCTTGCTGGAGGAGCAGCACCTGTGGGGAGAGGGAACAGGGCCCAAGGATGGACTCACATCACTTCCTGTATTTCTTCCCCTCCTCATATGTCAGGGCCTTAAGGAATCGCCATGCGCAACATCGAGGGGACGCACCTGACCCAAAGTGGATGGCCAGTCTCCCTCAAGCCCAGGCCCCCAGGAGCTCCTCCCTGACGTCTGAGCCCTGTGTTCCCTACAATGAAAGGGCCAGAACTTGACCTAATGTCCGTGCTGCACCCCTCTGCAGAGCGGATGACCTCCTTCCAGGCCCTTTCTTGCTCCCACTCAGTTTGCTTCCGGGCCAGCGCCGTCCACGAAGGGAGCGAAGCCCGGAGCGGCTTCTGTCCACCAACCTGAGCCACTGGTGACAATTCTTCCTCCCTCTCCTCTTGTCTCTAGCCCCTAATGAAAGGAAAACTTCAGACAAAATAAATTTAACAGAGTTTATTTGAGCAAAGAACAATTCATGAATTGAGCAGCTTTCAGGCAGCGAGTGTTTATCAGCAGAAAAAGTCTGGAGAAAAGAGAAATGAGAAACAAAAAGCAGATCGGCTGTTTCAAAGTTCCTTTCCTTGTAAAGGTTAAAGCAGAGGAGACTTCTTTATCATGTTGGCTAAAACTGGCTTTTTTAGGGACTTGGCTATTGTCTCTCTCTTTCCTGATTTCTAGTAAGATCAGATAAACTACTTAGCTTCAGCTTGGGATTGCTTCTCGATATTTTGGCTAAGATCAAGTGTAGTTTTGGCTTGGTGGCGTTGAACTTTAGCACGAGTGACTACATGTTGGTCTGGTCTGTTGGGCCTAGTGCAGGGCCTCAGTCCAAACCAATGGCCTCCTATCAATTTTATTTAACACCTCGATATTTTGGCTAAGATCAAGTGTAGTTTTGGCTTGGTGGCGTTGAACTTTAGCACGAGGGACTACATGTTGGTCTGGTCTGTTGGGCCTAGTGCAGGGCCTCAGTCCAAACCAATGGCCTCCTATCAATTTTATTTAACATGTCTCAGCCAAGCACCTAGGTCACCCCCAACATCACTCTCTCCCTTGCTCAGCCACACTCCGCCAAAGCCTCTGTGCATTTTCACCAAAGGAGAACTAAAATCTGGCATCATTAGTAGGGCCCACACTCCACCCAGGCCAGCCACCCCTTGTTATCCCATCACTGTATGTCCCCCATGCTGTCCTTCCTACTGCCACCAAGATGGCTACAGGCTCTAGAAAGAGGGAACCATCCTTTTGTCTGCACAAGCTGGCAGGAGGATCCTTGGCACACCCACCAGGATCCTGCTGGGTCCTACCCCAGGCGCTGTCACCCTCACAGGGTTGTCCTCTCTTTCTGACACTCACTATCTTGATGTTGGACCTTCTGGACTCAGCCTCTAACTTTATCATCTTTTCTCTCTTGTTCATCATCTATTTTTCTTTATTCCTACTTTCTGGGAAAGTTCCTCAAGGTTGCATTCCAGTTTTTCTATTCAAATGTTTGCAACTTATGCTACCATATTTTTTTATTTCTAAATGGTTCACTTGTTCTCTGAGTATTCCTTTTTATAGCACACATGTTTTATTTTGGCATGCCATATTTTCTCTAGAAATATTACCATTTTGACTTCTGAACTTTTTTAAAGCTTTGTGTATTTTCTATTTCCTCCAAGTGGCTGGGTATGTTTTTTAATTTCTCCTTTTCTTGGCCTCTGTCTTTTCTCGGAGCTTTCTGGAAACCTCTGCTGCTTCTGGACAGCCCATCNGGTATGTTTTTTAATTTCTCCTTTTCTTGGCCTCTGTCTTTTCTCGGAGCTTTCTGGAAACATCTGCTTCTTCTGGACAGCCCATCCACACTGAAGGGCTCAGACTCTCATGTGTGCTGCAGGGGCTGTAGACAGATTGGGCACATGCATGGCTCCATCTTTTCTCTTTGACAACTTGGTTTCTCCAGAAAGGACTCTTAACTGTACTCCTTGAGAGAAGAAGCCTTGACCCAGAGTTCTGGGCTCCAGGTGCAGCAAAACAAAGAGGCCTCATTGCCCCGGCCCGTTCTCACTCAGCCCCCTTGTTGCACGCGTGCTCTCTGTGGTGCTCTGAGCTGGAGCCCTGAGCGGAGCATCACTGTGATTCACCTCCTCAGACACTAACCCCAAGCTCTCAGCAGGAGGTGAGCCAGAGAAAAAAAGAGAGGATGTGGGCAGCTGGCCTACTCTGAGTTGCACAGGAGGCAGAGGACCTAGGAGTCTAACCGGTTCTTAAAGGAGACTTGCAACCTATTCTCTTGTTTCCAGCCCCACTTCTACTCTGCCCTCTGACATACCCAGGCCTCCCATTTCTAAGCTTTTCTGGTGTTCTAAGGTAGAAATGACTTGCTCCTTATTCCTCTCAGCCCTACCAGCTTTCTCCGGTCTGTGAAGTTGTCTGATTTTTACCCAGTTTCAAAACTTTCATGGAGCTCTCTCATGACCTTGAGGATGGATTTGTACAATTTTTACCCATTTATTGCTATTTCATTCACCCACCTTCTTAGTAGAAATGAGGAGGGACCCCAGAATTTCCATCAGAACACCCCTCCCTAGCACCCACCACCGAGGGCAGGATAAACCAGACCCCAGATCTTCACCGGCTCCCTGTAAAGACTCCTGGCTCCCTCCCCAAACTCATGGTCACCACTGAGACCCAGAGGAGCCTCTGTGCTTTTATCTCTGTCACTCCCATCACCGCAAGTCACCCAGGACACCCTTTCCTCCCTCATCAACCAGAATCAGGTCTCAATAAGACCTTGCCAATCCATTAAATTATAGCCCCATTTCTTGAGGATGGATTTGTACAATTTTTACCCATTTATTGCTATTTCATTCACCCACCTTCTTAGTAGAAATGAGGAGGGACCCCAGAATTTCCATCAGAACACCCCTCCCTAGCACCCACCACCGAGGGCAGGATAAACCAGACCCCAGATCTTCACTGGCTCCCTGTAAAGACTCCTGGCTCCCTCCCCAAACTCATGGTCACCACTGAGACCCAGAGGAGCCTCTGTGCTTTTATCTCTGTCACTCCCATCACCGCAAGTCACCCAGGACACCCTTTCCTCCCTCATCAACCAGAATCAGGTCTCAATAAGACCTTGCCAATCCATTAAATTATAGCTCCATTTCTCACTCTCCCTCAAACCCACAGACTCTGCCTCTGAAATGCACCATCATCAGCACAAGCTCCTATATTCTCAGCTTCTCTGAATGTCACCTTTGTCGTCTCCCTGAAATCTGCCTTTTCTCTGTAGTTCTCTCAAGCGGTGGCTCTGTGTCCTCTTCACCTCATGCCACTGGGCCTGCAGGTGGGGTTGGTGCCCTCTGTGCTCCTCGCTGCCCCTTCCTGTCTTCCTATCCGCCCTCCTCTTCTGCCACTAGGCTATGCCACCATCGTTGTCCACCCACCACTGCTGCAGATCCTGGCTGGGGGCTGGTCCCCAGAGAGATCAAGCCACAAGTAGAAGCTTGTGTCTTCCTATCCGCCCTCCTCTTCTGCCACTAGGCTATGCCACCATCGTTGTCCACCCACCATTGCTGCAGATCCTGGCTGGGGGCTGGTCCCCAGAGAGATCAAGCCACAAGTAGAAGCTTGTAACTTTCAGTCCCACCTCCATCGTCCAAGAGGAAAGAAGGGCTGATAATTGAGTTCATATTTGATCATGCCTACATGATGAAGCCTCTGTAAAATCCCAAAAATATGCTTCTGGGGGCTTCTAGGTTGGGGAACCCGTCTGTGTGCTGGAAAACAGAAGCTCCTGTACTTGGGACCCTTCAGACCCTGCCCTATTAGTCTCATCTTGTTGTTCATCTGAATCCTTGACCGTCCTATTTGTTTTTATAATAAACCAGTAAACGTAAGTGTTTCCCTGAGTTCTGTGAGCCATCCTAGCAAATTATCAAGCCTGGGAAGGGAGTCTTGGGAACGCTATTTTACGGCCAGTCAGAAGCACATCTGGGTCTCTGGCCAAACCACCCTGAACGCGCCCAATCTGGTCTGATCTCAGAAGCCGAGCAAGGTCAAGCCTGGTTAGGACTTGGATGAGAGAAGTACATCTGGGGCTTGTGATTAGTGTCTGAAGTGGGGGCAGTCCTGTGGGACCGAGCCCTTAACTGAGGGGTCTGCACTAACTCTGGCTAGTGTCAGAGCTGAACTGAATTGTGGGACACCCAACTGGTGTCCACGGAGAAACAGAGAATTGCTTGATGTGGGGGGCAGAGTGGAGGTAACCCACACTTTTGGTCACAGAAGCATTCTGTATTCAGAGCATAGTAGGAGAAAACAAGTTGGGTTTTCCAACTAAACACACTACCTTTGATCTTTCTGAGGTCTTAACAAAGGATTTTATAGTCACGCTCTTTGTTCTGTCTTTAGACCACATATTCTTGAAAGTGCCTTGGGTTCGATGATAACATCACTTACTATCTGGAGGCCAAGAATTTTCAAAGTCATGAAGTCTCAGCTCCTTCATGTTAAATAGTCCTGCCTGTAATTTCTCTCTTCTCTCATTTTATAATGAGCCTCAAGAAAAAACCAGGTAACACCTTCAACACTTTGCCTGGAAATTTTAGCTCTGCCACCCAGGTCATTAGGTACATTTTCTACTTTCCACATTGCTGCAGGTGCCAGTGTTTCTAAGCTTTCTGCCGCTGCATAATAAAGATCCCCTTTCCTTCTCACCTACTGACTAAGTGACCCTGCAGAAGGTACTTGAGGTCTCTACACCCAGTCTCCTCATTGGTAAAAACAGAACTGATAGTATCCACAATACCAAGCTATTTGTATTTCTCAGTAAAGCACCAGACTTCTGGAGGACACTGAACAAATGCTGAGCTGTAGAGGGAGCTAGGTCTAATAAAAAGAGGACTCGCCTGTGACACAGAAGAGACAACTCAGAGCTGCCCACAGCTGGAGAGACAGATGATAATGTGTGGGCAGACAGTGAACTTGGAAACCTACAGGAAGGAGGCTCCTCTTCTCAGTGACCAGCAGAAGGAAACAACAACAAAAAATAATCAGGGTGACGAAACTGACCGAATTTGGCCCAAAATACACACAAACTGACTGACACCTCTCTGACTGGCAGTGGCCAGGGGAGGCCTCCCTACTTGTCAGGAGGGTGTGAGCCGCCAACCCTATATGTAATGGGATGGGGAAGCAGAGTTTATTAAGAAATAATTTTTAATCGTGTTGGCTGCATCTATGTGCAATTCTGCAGCAATCTCTAATCACCTTCTTGTTTCCCTGTTCTGGTTGTGGGTGGGACGTGCAGTGGAAAACCCTGATAGAGCTCAGGAGCTTGGACACCAGTAAAGCCACCTGCCACATTCAACAGGTCACTGACCTTCTCTGGACCTCAGTTTCTTCACTAATGAACACGCTTTGTAGATTATAAAATTATGTGAATATGTTATTTGTGTTGTTTCTTAAGTTTACTTCAAACTCTAAAACTCTGTCCTGCATCTGCACATTTTATCTCTAGGGGACCAACTTCTCCAGTTTTCCCTCCTTTCTCTATCCTAGTGTGGGAGCCCCTTAGGTGCTGTTGCAAGCAGGAAAGGGCATGTGCGTAAGCCCAGTGAGTAGAGGGCCAGGGGTGAGCAAGCCTTGGAAACAAGACCTGAACTTGTTTTCTCTGCTCAGCCCTGTGTGAGTTTGGGCAGGTCACTGCCCCTTTCTGAACTTCTGTTTTTTCCTCTGGAAAATGAAGGAGATGGAGATGAATTCTGAAGCCCTTTCCACATGCGGCTAAGTCAGTGAGCATGAACTGAACACCTTTCTGAACTTCTGTTTTTTCCTCTGGAAAATGAAGGAGATGGAGATGAATTCTGAAGCCCCTTCCACATGCGGCTAAGTCAGTGAGCATGAACTGAACACTTTCCTGTGCCCAGCTCAGGGTTACCAGGGACAGAGCAGCACAGGACACAACCATCCGAAAGGAGCCAGCCCAGGAGCACAGCTGTGAGTCCGTAGGTGGAGGGGTCCCTGTGGAAGATTCCAACAAAGACTGAGAGAAGAGGACAATGGAGGAGTAGCAATGTTGGAAAGGAGATGGCTGGGGAGAGAAAGATGACAAGGGACACTAGAGGGCACTAGATAGTGAAGGAAGGAGCCCAGCAAGGATGAGTGACTGCACAACTTTGCTGTGCAGTCACATCAGTCAGGACAGCCACGACCTCACATGAGCTCAATAGGGAGGGTGCACAGTCCCAGGAAGGCGCCAAAGCCCCTGTCCCATCTCCATTCATTCCTAAGTGTCTGGTAGCATCCTGGAAACAAGGGCCAGTTTGGGCTTCCAGGGTCTGGGGTCTTTTCCTCAGAAATCTCAGTCTCCACCACCTCTTTCCAGTTCTCACCTTTCTTACTGGGCTCCTCTGGGGAGCAGAGAAGTCTAAGGACAGCCAGAGTCTTGGGCAGACCAGAATTTCTGTTCATGGTTAAAGAGCTGAACTTACTAGGGGGAATCTGAGTGTGGACTGAGTAGCAGAGGTTATTAAGAAATAATTTTCAATTGCACTGGCTGTGATGATATTAATTTGCCATGTAGCAAGAAGCTCTTTTTTTAGAGATGTATGATGAATCATTTAAGGGTGAAATGTCAGGATATATACAACTTATTTTAGAATACTTCTGCATAAAAAATACAGTGAGTTAAAAATACACAAGTGGGGGCCGGCCCAGTGGCGCACTGGAGAGTGTGCCGCTTGGGAGCGCGGCGGCGCTCCCGCCGAGGGTTCGGATCCCATGTGGAGACCAGTTCCCACTCACTGGCTGAGCGCGGTGTGGGTGCGACACCGAGGGTTGCAATCCCGTTATCGGTCAGTAAAAAAAGACAAAAAAAGGAAAAAATACACAAGTGGAGTGGAGCTCCTAGACCCTGAGCTCTGTGACAGGGCCTGCTGCAGGAGCATCCTGTTCTGCTATGGAAATCAGACAAATGACCCACCTCTGTGCAGAAATTACAGAAAAGTACCCCTCTAGGCCTGCCCATTAGAAAAAAATCACCCTCTTCTCAGCCAGCACAACAGATTCCAGCTGCCCTTGCCCTCTGGGCAACCCCGATGACCAATACATCCAGGGATTGCCCATGGTCATTGGATGACAGATCAATGCAGCTAATGTCCATGCCCATCCCACAGTCCCACCAATGTACCCATGTCTCAGTGCAGCCCTGAACTTAGCCTTGGTCAGCAAACCTCTGCAATGACTGCACCTAGAATTGCACAGAGCACATCAAGTTTACTGTTTCTATCCCTCTTTTTTTTTTTTTTTTTTTGTAAATTATGTATAATTTTGATTCTGATTCTAAAAATCCTGACATTCAGTAAAGAAATATATGTTAGTGGGCTGGCCAGTTAGCTCACTTGGTCAGAGCATAGTGTTATAACACCAAAGTCAAGAGGTGAGGTCCCCATACCAGCCAGCTGCGAAAAAAAAAAAAAACAAGAAGCATGTGTTAGATTTAGATTCCTTTATCTACTTATTTTTCAACTGGCATTTCCAAAGCACCCATCGAAAGGGCAGCAGCAGCTGGTGGTAGAGCCGGCTTCCAGGGCTGAAACTCCCTTCCCCCCTCCTCCCTGTCCTGCTCCTGAGCCCAGCCCAGCCCCTCCAGAATCCCCTGAGGGCCCCTGCTCAGTGCTCTCTGTCTCTGCTCACAGCTTTCCTCTCCTCTACCTCTGCCTGAGACTGCTCTGCACCTGGGGCCTGGAATCCAGTCTCTGCCTCCTAGCTCCTCTCCCCTCCAGCACTCACAAAACCTCCCAGGGGGGAGACACACCACTGATCCCCCAGTGGGGCCTGGATGGGAGGCCTGTGAGGTCCTGTGGGGCTTAGGACTGTGGTCAGGATCCAAATGCCCCTGTGACCCTGACAACTGTTCTTAGCTGTGCCTCTAGAGGAGGTTGATAAACCAGGCCCAGAGAATGAGAGGCAGTCTGGAGACAGAGGGGAGGAAGAGAAGGAGTGAGGTAGCGTTGAGCTGACCACTTTCCTCCCCACCTCCTGCCTCACCCCTCGCCCCACCCCCATGGGGGCGGGGGACTGGAGGGAGGGGGGGCTGGGCAAGAGTGAGCCAGAGCACCTCACAGTTTCCTGTGGCTGAGGCCTCTCAGGGACCAGAGATGCTGCATGCACCTGGGAGAGGGGGTCTCCTGGCTCCGCCTTCCCCCTCCCCTACTCCCAGAGAGCCCACTTCCCCAGGCCTCCCACTTTCCCAAATGAGGCCTTGTCTTCTCAATTCTTCCTTCTCAGAGGTGCTGGGGGAGTCTTGATGAACCAGGCCCATTTCCTGGGGTCCACATAATTTCCTAAGCCCCTTCGCCCCCACCCCAAGAGCTAAAGGAGAGGCTGGCTTGGTTGGCAGGACCCTCTCTTACTACTGCTGCTGCTGCTAAGAGCACCTCCACCCAGCCTGCCTGTGCCCTTGACTTCAGACGAGGGGGTGAGGAGGAGGACAAGAGAGAAGACAGGAGAGGGGAGCAGTGGGCAGGGAGAGGTGGTCCTGCAGGCCAGCGGGAGGCTTATTCTGGTTGTGGGCCCACTGGCGGCTGCTCCCCCAGCCTCACCCCTGCAGGGCCCCCTGACCTGAGGCATGTAATCCAGGCTCCCGGGGAGAGAAACCTGAGTCTGAGCAACCAAGGGAATGGGATAGGAAGGATCCCTGTGGGCAGAGCCTGTGCCCGCCCCAGGAAGATTGTCAAAGGAGGGAGTCTCAGGAAATCACTGTGCCCTGCCATTCATCAGATCCAGACACAAGCCATGACTATGTCCTCTCCATACATGACCAGGGGCAACACCCCTGGGTCTGGTTCCACTGTCCCCCTAACTAGGCTCCAAGAGACAAGCTCAGGCACACTGGTGAGAAACACAGTGCTCCCTGCAGCTGTTGATATTCTCAGAATTGTCCCCAGGTGTCCCCAGGTGAGCTGCTTACCTGAGGAAATGGGCCTACACAGGCTTCTGGGAGAAATACCATTTACCTGTCCCCAGAGAAGCACTGGCCCCTCCATACAAACAGCTCCCCACTACTGGGCCAGAAAGGAAGACAGATAGATTTTTCTATCTAAAAAAAACAATTCTTATGCATGATAAAAGATGATATAAAAAATCTTTTTAAAAATGTGACAGGATAGAAAAAAAATGTCTTATACAAGATTAATAACCAGAATATAAAAGGAACTTGTAAAATCAATAAATAAAGGGCAACAACTCAATAGAAGAAACAGAAAAGACAGAAACTGCAATTCAAAGAAGTGCCCATGGAGAATTAACATGTGGAAGACAAGATCAATTTTATCAGCAAATGGGAAAATGCTAATTAAAACAACAGTGAAGGATCATTTTTTACCTGTTAAATTAATAAAAATTTTAAAGTCTAGTTATTCCCAGTGGTGATGAGGTTGTGAGAAAATTGGCAGTCTCAAAAGCTGTTGGTGGGAATATAAATTAGCACATCCTTTCAGGAAATCAATTTGTCCATATTTATCAAAATATTAGAAGTTCATCCACTTCCAGCAGACAATTCCATTTCTAGTGTCTGCTTGAGAGAATAAATCATGTATACACCAAGAGGCATATATCAATGGTTATTTGTTGCAACATTTTATATAATAGTGAAACTTAGAAACAAATCAAGTAGCCATGATATAGGAAAGGAACTAAACAAATGATGCTACAATTTCTACAACTATGTAGCAGGGTAAAAAGAACGAGGCTGATCTGTGTGTACTAACATGCACAGATCAGTTGGCAAAACATATTCAGTCCAAAAAAAATCAAGCTGCTGAATGACACATATCATAGTATCTCATTTAAATCAGTTAAAAGGAAAATGAAGCTAGATCCATACACAGTCTGTGTATGCATGTGCATGCATGTGTGCACGGGTGTGTGCACACAAGTGTAAAAACAGGGAAGGGCATGGACAAGAATCACCTCAAGATGCTCTGGAGTAACATCTGGTACCCTAGTGTGTGACTGGGGTGGGAGACAGGGTGTGAAGGGGCACTTTTGCATTTTACCTTGTATCCTACTATATTATTTGAATATTTTTTACAATAAAATGTACTTGGGTTAAAAAAAAAAAAGATAGAAATGTTTTTAATGACTATTGTAGCCGGTGGGAGATGCAGCGAATAGGGGGGTCAGCAGTGGGAGGGTGTGCGTGTGTTGTCATGACCAAGTCTCCAGTGACAGGCTAGTTTCAGTGACCCCCCAGGAGGCTTAGTGACCATGTGGCACATCCTCATTGGTTCCCTTGCACTTTCCTTGCACACTCGTTCTGTCCTCTCCATCGTCCGGCAAGCGTAACCTGGTCAGCTGAGCCCTGCTCGGTGTCCCGCCCCTGGCTTCTCACTTACCATAACAACCCGGCAATTATTTT